GCTGTGATGGAGAAACAGGTTTACCTTTTAGGTGACATGAATGAGTTGAAGGGAAGTTATGAACTGTTTCTGAGAGACAAATAACACCAGGATCCTTTTTTTTATGTAGCTGACAGCTGGTAACTGTGCAGGGGCGGGTCTAGCACAGTGTTGCCAGGGGTCCATGGGCATTAACAGGGAAAGGGGGGCACAAAGAAGTACTTTTATTTCTTATTCTCATTTAAAATGTCTAGCTTTTAAAAAGTAATTATCAGAATCTTACAACAAACGATTGATAGATTGATGCATATATACCATCAAGACAGTGTACATCACTGTCACAACAGCGTTTGTTTTCATTCAAAGGCTTTATGATTTTTCCTATAATGGCGGGCTGGTCAGTCAAAACGCCCGGGCCAATTTTCTGTCCCAGTCTGTATGCAGCTCATCTGCAGTCTGGTGTTACCTACATCTTCCTATTCGGAAGGCAGAATTTCCGAGTTCTGAGTACAAGCGAAAGCACCACGACTGCAGTTTTCGTGTTGGATGTAAAAACCGCACATGACGCTGTGACGTAGGCTAGAATCATGGCGGTGGTCAACGACAGTCCAGGTGTGGGATTTCTCTCGTGGAAATATACACATTATCTTTTCCTTTCTATTGGTAGGTGGCACAGTGCACTTGTGGCAAGTAAGCAAGCTAGAAGACTGTCAAAGTTATGGAAGCAACACATTACCAAGAGAATTCTGAGTAAAAGCAAAGTTACTTTCCCTAGTAACTAGTTACTTTGAAAGTAACGAGTAACTTGAAGTAACTGAGTTACTTTTGATAGCAGTAACTAGTAATGTAACTAAGTTACTATTTTAAAATAACTTACCCAACACTGCTAATAACAGATTAAATGCCATGTTGAGGCTGTCATTTTTAGCATCTACATGGATGTTAAAATCACCCACAATAATTGTTTTATCTGATCTGAGCACTAAATCAGATAAAAGGTCTGAGAAATCAGACAGAAAGTCTGTGTAAGGCCCAGGTGGACAATAGAATTATCACAAATATGGCTGGTTTTTGAGTTGTCCAGCTAGCTTGGACAAGGCTAAGCATCAGGCTTTCAAATGAATAAAAACTCTGTCTTGGTCTTTAGTTGAGTAAAAAGG